TGATTATTAAGCATGTTCTTATTCCCAAGGCTGGTCGGGTTACGACATATTCGTACGGAAATACGCCTTTTCGCGTCAAAAGATCAAAATTCTCGGTCGATAATTGTAAAAATTGAGAACGTACAATTTTTAACTTATCTCTGCATAGAAAAGATGCTAATTTATCGAGGCTGCTACTCAAAAATTTATACGAATCGATAAACCGTAATTTTATGTCGCTTCGCGAATCTGATTTTTCTGCGGTATCTTTAACGTGTTTCGTGAACGAAATGTATTTTTCTTTCGTGATTGGAAGTAAGTCTACGTGTCCTTCGTACGCTGTAGCTATTTCCTTGATAATAAAATGCGCGTCGTAACCCGATAAATTATGAAAAATTATTGGAATGTAATGCGAATCTGTGTAATTTAGATTACAGTTGGAATGCGCGGGACCTCTATAACGACCGGTCAGATGACAATGATCGCGTACTCGCACGTCGTCTGGCTCGAACGGTTTTTCGCAAATGTGGCAATGCGTCGCACTGTGAAATATCTCCCGCTCGTCTCGCGTTAATTCCGTCATGCAAACATTACCGGATAAGATACTCTTTACGTCGTGTGCTAAACGTCTTAGTTCCTCGACGAACCACGCGACGCAATCCTTATCGCGACGAAATCGATACGCGGATAACGAGTCGTCGTACGAGCACCGCATGTAATATCCTACGCTAAATACTCGATGATGTTGAGACGTGTATATGGACGTTGTCGGATCCGCATCCGTCTTCTCGAGGGTACATTCCAGGTCGGCGTACACGACGAACGGAACTCGTTCCTTCCTGCTGTGATTCTTAAAACTCAGCCACTTGTCGTCCTCGCTCGGTAGTCGGATCGCACAGTTGTTTATCTCTCGGCAGTCTACTCCGTGGGCTTCCAATTTCTCGCTCGATCTAAAATAATGTAAACAACTGCAAAAGAAAAACACATTTTTTTTTAATTTTTTATATTAAAAATACTTTTATAATTTTATTAAAAAGGAGTATAGGTACTCACCGATCGCAAAAGTATTTCCGACCATTGTGCCTGCTCAATTGCGAGCTAACGAGACGCGATAGATTTTTTATCCACGCGAAATGCCCCACGTTGTTGTCTCGCGGGTCCTGCACGTACAGCAAATTGACGTGCTTTTCTCTCTTCAGGTCGGTGAGCTGTATCGGGAGAACGGTTGGCGTCTTCTCTCCCTCGATGGTATACACATTGATGGATATATCGTTGAGTCGTTCGAACTTTTTAATCTGTTTCAAAATCATTGGAAACTCAATGCCTTGTAAATTTAATACTGTTGTGTAATGTCGGTACGAGGATTCCCGTTCTGAATGTCTTTCGACTGGATGTAAAGCAGCCACCACTGACCACGCGAAGCATGCATTGTCCACAGAATGCACGTTGATCACCGCTTTCTTCGATTTAATTTCTTGCGGTAAATTGATGTAACATCCCGCGTGCAAAGGATTGTATTTGTTCACGTTCACAGTCAGATTGAGTATACGCGACAACGCCCACCCGCTGTCGCGTTCCTGAAACTCTTCGAGACGTGATAAAGTAGGCTCGATAACGTGTTGCTCGTACCACTCGCGCAGATCGGACGCACGAAAGAGTTCATAGTTTCCCGTGCCGACACTTTTGTTCGCACGTTTGTCACCCGTCACAAACTCGCCGTTGAACACAGTGTTTATCTTTACACTTGCGTGTCTTTGCATGACGTTCCGCACACGATCGAGCACGATGACTTCAGCGTCTTCGAGAAATTTTCGCGGTTCGATGTAATTGATATTTATCACCGCACCGGTCGATACACGGTTTTCGAACGCGGCATCGATCTCTCGCCAAACGAGTCTTTCCGCGTTATCGTCACTACTAGCGGCGCCCGCCGCGTACTCACCACCGATATGTACGAACCGTCTCTGTAATAGAGTCTTCGCACCTTCGAGTCGCGCGATTCTTGCCACTAAAGATTGTCTGTTTACGCGGCTCTCATCTGTGATTGACAGCCGCGGACGTTTGGAACGACAGTCTTCTTCGAGCTGCTCAATAAACTTCTCGCATCGCTGTTCCCATGCAAGATATTCGCCCAAGGTAGCGATTTGGTTGGATTGTTCCAACAGGTTGCGTTCCGTTTTATCGAGATGTTCCATGTTTTTGTTTTTTAATATTGTCTTTTTTAAATAACGTCACATTCTTCGATGGAGCACTTGCACGTGATTCGATCGCACGCTGAACAATATCGTTTGCCACTTTGAATGCGATAGTAGTCAGACATAGCATAATGAGGCAAGAAGTAAGGGACATTATGCTCCCAATTATTATCATCATCACAGTCACGTTCAAAGGTTTTTTGAAGCATCAATAGATGGGGATGATTAGGATTATCGAGCCAAGGGCATACCCTTGGGTACATATACAAACGTATCGAATTGTTCATCACCACCAATTCGACGTATTTCCCAATACCTGTGTGAATTTTAATGTATGTTGCTTCACAATCATCGAGCAGTTCACAAAATTTAGACGCCCAATAGCGATAGTCAGCAATAGGCACAACGTCAGTACAGCGAGCTACACGTGATTCTTCCTCGCTAACGCACTCGTCCCGCAGCCGTCGATATACTTTTTTTCTCACGATAGAATTCCAGTCATATGGAGAAGAGATATCGATCACGACTCTTTGTCTAGCGAAGCGTTGACCGGTTCCGCGTATACCGAGTTCGCGATCGCGAAGAAACTGTACCGGCGATATTCGTCGCACATCCCTCAATTTCACTCCTTGATCTTCTTCACGCAAACCATTGATGATATCTGTTGTAATACATTCCATTTGTATTTCACGGTCAGATTTTGGAGGCTCCACAGATTCCTCTTCAATTATCCACACCATGTTGCGCACGTTGTGTATAATGTCCCACTCGCGATAATGTTTTTTATTACTTCATGCAAGTCGGGCACATGTTGCACGGATATATTTGGAACAATGGAGTATTACGACAATCTGTGCAAAATTGAACGTTCATTACCTCGTACGGTTCGGTTACATGCTCTCGATATTTACGTATGTGCTCACCAGTGTCTGGTGCAGCGATCATACACGAATAACACAGGTTATCTGAACCATATTCAAAATAAAAATAAATTGCGCAACACTTCGTACGTTCATCTAACGCTAAAAATTCGGGACGCGACACTATTTTTTTCATAACTTCTCTACGGTTATCGTCTCTATCGCTGTTATAAGTGCTGTCCGGTGACAACGGACGATTCTCGTTGGATGAATCTGCATCCATTATTGCCTCGAAATTATTGTTTTAAAAGCCGTGATAATATTTTTTTATCGTGTACAAATCGGGCACATATTACGCGGAAATATCATATACAATGATTCACGACATCTTGAACAATACCGGCCATGCGTCGTTCCGCGTCTCTCAACGAAGTGTTTTAGGCGAGCGTACATGCCGAAATTAAGGTCCCATAGAGTAACCATGCATGGAGCACATAGTGCAAGTGCACCACCCGTTGAATAATAAAAATAAATTACACAATGTCTCACACGTAGATTTAGTTCAACGATTTCCCAACGCAGCACTATTCTATCGATGACTTCTTCATGATTGTCGTCTTCGTCACTAAAATAGTCGCTGTCGTCCGTTAACTCGCGATCCATATCTGAATTATTGCCATCTCCTTTATCGTGAAAAACATTCTTCCGTATTGAATACTTGACACAAAAAAACTTTACCCGCAAATATGAACGTTCGCGTCGCGAAAGCTAGCCGAAGACTGTGATCCGCAAAATGTGGATCCATAATCATCCTGGCGACAATGGATGTTATGCGTTTGTATAATTATCGTTAGACATATTTTGTTTATACATTCCAGCAGCCGGACATCGGCGCTCGCTTTTTGTAATATGCCGCGCCATAACCGAATACCGCCGCGACGGTTAAATCGTAATCTGCAGCGGCTCTTTCTAGAAAAAACATGAAGAGGACTCCGCAACGGTTGAATCGTCATCGGTGCCAAATTTTATCAATTGTTTACCTCGGCTACTTTATCTTTAAACCGTCGTCGGACCATCGGCGCTCGCTTTTGTAGTGTGTGAGACGCCGTAACCGAATGGCGGCTCGCATGTTCTAGAAGGGTGAAATCATTGCAGAGACAAGTGTCTAACTCGCTATTTTGTTTACAGTCGCAAATCTGTGCATCGACGCGATGTTCCATCTATCGAGTAGAATTGTTTTTTAGTGCGCTACCGTAGTACGTAAAAATCCAAAAATATGTAAAAGAAGAAGAATAAAAAAATGTATTTTTTTTAAATATAAATCACGACTTAATTTCTTCACATGCATTTCCATTTGAGTCGTATATGCGACGTTCGACTCGAACCACTCAGGCCACTTGAAATTTAAGGTATATCATATATCGTAAACTATGAAGCCATGCTCCGGCGACGCTCGCCTATTCGTATATCGTAAACTATGAAGCGCTCGCCTTTGTAGCGTGAGATTTCGCTGGAAGCGACTATCAGTTTACACGACCGCCATTATATTTTTCTCTGGCGACTTCAGTCTCATCGTAGCCGTGAGCCTGCTTGAACGTGTTTCGCCCGAAAATATTTTTTTTCGAGGATTAGTGACGCCTTTGTGATTGTTTTTTACTTTCTTGTTTGTGATGCCTCCAAACCTTCCCCCGTATCAGGCTAAATACGTAAAATTAAGTGAAATTGTGGAAAGTGCCGAAGATTTAAATGATTTTAATTTTAATTTTAACGACTTCGATAATTTTAATTTTAACAATTTTGATGATTTTACTTTTAACAACTTTGTCGCTGCTCTCCCGCGTCTCCCGCGTCTCCCGCGTATCCCGCGGACGAACGGTGGCGGACGCGGGCTGATCCCCCGCGGGCGGCCAGTATTAAACATTAATATCGCAGATTTTTTTGATTCTGATTTTGACATTGATAACTTTGAATCTGATAGTGATAGTGAGATTCAGGAGGCAAGGTCCGCCGCTCCCCCGCGTCAGCCACCCGCGCCCCGGCTCTCAACAGTTCAGGTGGGCACGCCACCCGGTGTTTCACGCG